CCTATCTATTTCTGTCTGGAACATGTCTGGACTGTACCTGAATGCTTTGTGTTGCAAGCACATGAAGTTTGCTGGTAGCAATCCACAGCTTCCTGTTCATGATTTGTATCCCTTCTCCATCACAATTCCTGTTTCTACTGCTGCAAGTAAAGAGATGCTGGAAGGATAGACAAGTCTTGGGCAGACCAATTCCTAGAAAAACTCTGCAAGGGAAACTGGAGTATATCTTGGTACCATGCTCAAGCAATAAGAACAATGCTTTAAAATAGGCTACAGTTATAGGTCGACCTAGACAAGCTAGCAAGTTGGGCGGATCAGAAACTGAGGAAGTTCAACGTCAAGAAATGTAAACTGCTCCACCTTGGGACAAGCAACCCCCAACACACCTACATGCTTGACGGCACCAAACTACTAGCACCACTAATGAAAGGGACCTGGGTGGGGGTAATAATAGACCTCAGTATAAATATGAGTCAGCAATGTGATGCTGTAGCCAGTAGGGCAAATAATACTCTGGCATGTACCAATCGATGCATCTCCAGCAAAGCCAAGGAGGTGATCCTTCTGCTCTACTCAGCACTGGTGAGACCGCAGCTAGAGAACTGCATCCAGTTCTGGGTACCACACTTTAACAAGGATGTGAACAAGCTTGCGAGAGTCCAGAGAAGAGCCACCCGTATGATCAGAGTCTTAAAAGGCAAGCCATATGAAGAAAGGCTGAGGGACCTGGGACTCTTCAGCCTGAAGAAAAGAAGTCTGGTAGCAGCTTACTGCTGCTACACTACACAAGTACATCAAGGGCTCAGTGAGCAACTGTCCACCAAGGCACCCAAAGGGAAAACCAGGAGTAATAGCCACAAACTCCTAGAAGGTCGATTTAGGCTCAACATTAGAAAAAACGTCTTCACAGTCAGGGTGTCCAGACTGTGCAATCACCTACCATGGAAATATTCAAGCGGAGACTAGACAGTCACCTTGCTGGGGTCACCTGACCCCCAATTATCTTTCCTGCTTGGTGCAGGGGGCTGGACCCAATGATCTCCCAAGGTCCCTTCTGGCCTAACAATCTATGAACAACAATGTAGACAGATTTAGGCAGGATTATGAGGCATGATAGAGATGCAGAAGTGTGCTTAATAATACTTAGGTTAACTCAGGGTGATTTCCTGGTAAACCCTAAATATTATTATAGTATTATACACAATTATGGTTTAAGGTAAAATACACAAACTCTTTTGAGATCAGGAACTAGAAGCCAAATTATCTCCTTCTAGATGAGTGCCCTAACTAGTAGCTATAGAGTTATGCTCTTCCTTAGGGTCACGTTCTCACTCTCTCTCTCTAGCCTATTTGGTCTTGAACATTACAATGTTACAGCTTCACCAACAGAGGTGAAGAGTACTCCTTCTTCCCCATCCTCCTACACACTTACCTGTTATCTGCCATGGAGGTAGGAGATGGGGTGTCAGATCCTCTCAGACAGAGGAAAAAATTTAATAGAGGTCTCTCACTTCTTGGTTAAGTGATATAAGCACAAAGCTGTTAAACAGAAGATGGATGGAACCACCAGCACCTGCAACCCTGAAACTTTGATGCATACCCTGGAGGATGCATACCCTGGGCATGCACTGGTACACTGAATTACCCAGTTTACTTGCCAAGATCAAGAACATTTTTTCAAGTGTATCCCTAAAAACTTTGTTCCATTTATTTATTGGTTTCACATAAAACATAAGTCTAAATATAATGCCTGGAATGTAGAAAATGGAATATCAACAAACAGGGGAAGAAAAATATAAAATGATGTGTACCTAATGTACAACTCTGGCTTAGGATATGTAATATCTCCCTCTAGTGTCTAGTGCATCTAATACAAGTATAGCCCTAATTCTCATGCTAGCAGTTTGGTTTGTTATACTGATATTGCTGTGTTTGATGTCTGCTGGTAATCCTAATGCTTGAAAGTGTATATGGACCCATACCTAAATGCAAACTGAAAGCAAAATAGCAACTAGATTTCTGAACTAGTCCATAAAATGGCAGTTATAAAGGCAAGCTAAAAATTAGTTTAAAAATAAATGAAAACTTTTTTTTAAAATCGTCTCAAGTTCAACTGAATCAAGCTGCATCAGAATTACATACATTCAATTGTTTGCCTGTGACCCAAGCACATAGTCCTTTCCCCCAGCTATTTCAATGAAACACTGAATTAGAATGCATAGCACTGACCTGTACTGGATAGAATCACAGGATCATAGGAAAGTAGATGGACCTCATACAAGCTCAACCAATCCAGCCCCTGCTCAAAGCAGGATCACCCCTGACTAAACCCCCCCAGCCAAGTGTCTGTCTAACCCGTTTTTGAATGTTTCCAAGGATGGAGATTCTACAACTTCTCTAGGTAGCCTGTTCCAAGGCTTGACCACTCTTGTTGTCATAAAGTTCCTCCTAATCTGCAACCTAAATTTCTTCATCATAGTCTGTGTCAGAGGCTCCCCACTTCCAAGAGCTAATGAGACTATCATACTGGCCTGCATTTGGAAAAGGAAGCCATGCATACTATGTCTGCTGCCACCACAAAGTTCCACTGAATAAATGTGATACGGCACACAGCTATAAATTTGTTACAGTATCCAATATCATTGAGACAGACTAAATCTTCACTAACGGGAAAGATGTCACGGTATTTTAAAATAAAATTACAAACTTTTTTAATGCTCATTGACTTGCTAAAATCAATATTCTGGGCTGCCTTGACTCTGCCCCAATTCCTTGAACGTGACACATTTTCTTATTTGGAAAAATAATGAAGGCTATCAACAATTCTGTTAATCTGAAATTACAAAATCATTACTAAATGACATAAACAGCTAAGTTCTACCTCTCCCAAGTTTTCTGTTCTCAAAGGAAGACAAGACACAGCTATACTGTGTGGCTGCTGGACAGGAGGTG